CTCCCCCTGTCTGATTTAAGGAGGTACATTGTGCAGAAATCTGAAACAGTGAGCCTTTGTCCTGGGAATATTTAACTACATTCCATAATGTTTCCTGCCAAGTTGCCAGGTTCATACATTCTCAGGCTCTTGCTTGTTGGAAATTGAGATCAGTCCCTTTACAGAAACAACCTACCCTTCTCTGTGAGGTCTTGTCCAATTGGTCTACATTATATCAAGAAATTAAACAGAAACATCATTAGTAATGTTGACAGTATTCCCCACACACATGAAATATTTAATGAAAATCAGGAGCTGGGGAGTTGAATTTTGCACGCAGAGAACCTGTGTAAGATGGATGTTCTCTGATTGCAGATGCAAGCATTTCCCCCCCAAAGATCTTTGCAAATGCCTAACAGCTGCCCCTTGTTTTGCTTTTAGTGACAGGGAAACATCCATTTAGTACTCTCTTGCCTCGGTTGATCCCATCCAGAATAGGATATCCAGAGAGAATTTAAAAGTCCAGGGATGTTCTGAATATGGAAGCACAAGGGTAGAACCAGCCCAAATGGTTGGTGCCATCTGCAAAGGAGTTGGCAGTATGAATGACCAAAAGAATCCTTATTCTTCAGTGGATGAGTGAGCTCTCTCACATTCAAAAGAAGGTTGCTAAAGGAGAGTACATGTAAAGGAATTATTTACAGAGGGGATAGCTGAGGCTTCAAGTAAGAAATAAGAATTAAAAAACAATGTGGTTTGGTCCCCTAGGTGATTTGATGGGGCAGGTAGGGTTGAGAACCACTGACTACAGAAAGCTATGACTTAGGACTCTGCTCAGGCATTCCTGGTTTGCTTCTGTTTTGCCCCAGTCCCCACTCAGGGGACTGCCCATGATCAGCCTTCTCCTTCAGTCTTCATGTGTGTCTTTGGACTCTTGCCCTTTGGGATCCCACAACTTTCCCAGCTTTGAAAACCTCCAGCCATCATTGGCTCTACAGAACCCAAGGCTAGGCAATTAGAGAAGAGGGTTGGACTTTGATTTCCATGGAGTTTGTTTGGGCTTATGATTTCAGGGACCATATATACCTGGAAGCGCAGCTTTTAGTTCTGATGGCCAGTCCCAGCAGCGGTGTGCTGCCATGGGCTTTGATGAGAGCCTAAATAGGAAAAATCTGTTATCCTGTGAGGTGTGGGTAAATGAAAATGTCAGATGTCATGCCTCTGCTTTTGTTCTCTGGTGAGCCTAATTGGGTTCTTTCTATTAAAGGTGGAGTTCCTCACTTACAAAACACCAACCTGATTAGATCACAAGAGATATAAGTCTAGTCCTTCTCATGCTGAGGACCTCCCACATACGTGAAAACACTGTAACTCCTCATTCAAACCACTAGAATAACTGTCATCAGGCTTCAGCCATTCATACAACAAATAGATATTCAGCGCCTAGTGTAAGCTAAGTACTGTCATAGGGACTAGAGGTATTGCAGTGAACAAAGCAAAGGTGTTTCCACATGGAAGTCACATCCTGCTTGGGAAGAGAGACAATAAGTAAATAAACAAGTAAACCTATAATGTACGAGATGGCATTTTAGTTATGTATTACTGTGTAGCAAATTACCCCAAATTTAGGAAACAACAAAGACTTATTACCTCAAAGCTCTTGAGAGTCAGAAGTCTGGGAGCAGAGTAATTGCATGGTTCTGGCTTAGGATGTCTCTTGAGGTTGTAGTCAAGTTGTCAGGAGGGGCGCAGTCTTGTCTAAAGCTTTGCCTGGCTTGGGGAGATCTCCCTCCTTCCTTTCCTATCATGTTCCTCACCATGTGGACCTCTCCAGAGAGCTGCTCTCAAGTTGAGAGCTGGCTTCTCCACGGTGAGTGATCCAAGAGAAAGAGGGGTTAAGACAGAAGCCATGGTATCTTTGATAACCTCATCTTGGAAGCGACATGTCACTGATTCTGTTGTATCCTCTTGTCCCTAACCCTGATAAAAGTGGGAGAAGGCTACACGAGGGCAAGAATACCAAGACGCAGAGATCTTCGGGGCTCTCTCGAAGGCTGGCTTCCATGGATGGTAGCAAGTGCTCTGGAGCAAAAAAAGCAGAGTAAAAGGACAGAAAAGGCTGGGGGTTGGGATGGCTACTGATTGTTCTTGAGACAGATGGTCAGGGAGGACCTCACTGATACAGCGCAGAGCCCTGAAGGAAATGAGGGAGTGGTTTTATGACTTGCTTTTTTAAAGGTTTCCACCAGGGTTCACATTTTCGGGGAAGACTTCCCTCAGCTCCTGTCTCACCTATCAGGTTTGCTAGGAACCCCTCGGTATTCTCCCAGGGATCCCACATCTCCGAAAGCTCTTGTCATCCTTTGCTGTCCTCTGTCTTCCTCTTCCCCTACCGGGGGCATTTCTTAGTGCCACGGACACTGTTTTGTTCATCTTTGCATCCCTAGTAAAAGATCAGTAAATGTTTGATGAACAAATGAAATAAATGGAAAGATGCACTTACTCTGCAGTCTTTTTTGGGGATTTAGCTTGAATCCCTCTTTAACAGTACATGGGATTTTTCGGGTTTTTTTAAATTAAACATCAGTTATCTTTTGTCTAAAGCAAAAAAGTCCTTTGACCTGGATTGCTATAGCTACTTGAAACATCTAAGTCTCCCCCTCTGCTGCTAAGTCAATTGCATTGCCTACAGACACTGTTAGTTTACAAAGCACCATATGGAACAAAACTATGTGGCAACTTATTGAAAGGGAACATTTTGTGAGAAAAATATTTTTGTTCCCATGCGGTAACGTTTCTATTAAATAGCTTCTAAATATGTAAAAAGGAAAAAAAAAAACCTTCCAAGTGGCAATAGAATACCCTAAGGAATCTAGAAAGCATGCAAAACAGCAATATTATTTTATAATGAAAAACAGATATGAGTAATATTATTTCTTCCTACCCTCCTTTCTTTTGGCAATCATTTTCTTTCTAAATATATGTCTTTTGTCCACTAAATCACATGCTCTGATTCACCCACAGCCCTGGGCCAGAGGCAGCCACTTATACAAAAGAAGGTCGGTCACTCCCAGAAATATGTCCCCCTTGTGTTTGGGAACTAAACCGTCATTCAGAACATCAGCAGTCGCTCTCTGTGTGGCTCTAGAGGTCTAGTCTGGCATGTAATTTAGGATTGCTCCCAGATTTCGGCCCTGAGAACTCAAAAGTACCAAAGCCATAGAAATTGTAATGCGCATAAGAATCCCAAGAGTACCTTGTGAAAAGCAGATTCTGGGGGGGATCCTAAGAGTCAGCATTTCTAACAGACTCCTGGGTTATTGTAGGTAGCGGGCTGGTGCTCATAACATGCTTTGCATAATATACTAAAATAAGTGTGGAGAGTCCGAAGTTTACCTGTCTGCCTACATCTGTACATGGTTTGAGATTATTGTTTCCTTTCTTTTACTTTTCTTTTCTTTCTTTTATTATTATTTTTTAATCATCCTAACGAGAGGGGAGCCTGGATGGCTCAGTCAGGTAAGCGACCAACTCTTGATTTCAGCTCAGGTCATGACCTCACGGTTTGTGAGTTCGAGCCCCTAATCGGGCTCTGCACTGACAGTGAAGAGCCTGCTTGGGATTCTCTCTCTCTTTCTCTCTCTCTCTCTCTCCCTCTGCCCCTCCTGTGTACTCTCTTTCTCTCAAAATAAATAAACTTAAAATTAAAAAAAAATAAATCATCCTAATGAGGAATTCCCTAATAATTAAGAAACAAATTTATTTATTAATTTACAAAGTTGTTAAACCATATATTCTCCACAAGATAATCTATATTTCAGGTCTCTGTTCCCTTAAAAGATTAGTTTGAAAAACGTGTTCTAAAAACAAAAAAAAAAGAAAAAGAAAGAAAAGAAAAACATGTTCTGCCATACATTTTCACTGGAACAAATGCCAATGCCAAGGAATCTATACTTTAGAATTCAAACCAAAACTAAATCCTTGCCTCTTATCTCCACATCAAATGTTCTGTGTTTCAAGCAAGCATACACCACAATTTCTCAGTCTTAAGATGTTTTTCTTGGACCAAACACCCAGACTTTAAAATCAGAAAACACATTAGGGTGCCTGGGTGGCTCAGTCAGGTAAGCCGCGGACTCTTGATTTCGTCTTAGGTCATCTTGTAGTTTGTGGGATCGAGCCTCGCATCACGCTCTGCACTGATGGTGAGGATCCTGCTTGGGACGCTCTCTCTCTGTCCCTCCCCACTCATACCCTCTTTCAAAATAAATAAACATAAAAAGTTAAAAATAAAAATACAAAAATGAAATCAGAAAATGTATTATCAGAATCCAATTCTGGGGAATCCAGAATCCAATCCTACAGGGGTGGGTTTGGGGAGACACCACAGGAAATAAAGGGGAAACTAAATTTGAAGAGCTCTCAGTTACTCTTTTCAAGTCACTTCCAGCTTTTTTCTATTTTATATGTTGAGGCTCAATTTTTAAATATACCCACTCTTATAATGTAAAGTGGAGAGGAAGCCAGGAGACTTAAACCTGTGTTTAGCACTAGCTTAGTCCCTATGTCCAGTTAGCCTGGGACACTACCCATGGCCTCCCCATGACTCGGTGTTTGGGAAAATGGACCAAACACTTTCAAACACTTTCACTCAAACTCTTGTGAGAGCAAATGAAATACTACGGCATTCCTTGGGAAGTAAGTGCAAAGTATTCTCACATCCATGCCCTTTCTGGGGCAGGGGCAGGAAGGGGGGTGCTGGGGTCATGGTTAGGATGAGAAGAAACAGTCTAGAGCCCAGGGCATGGTAGAACCTGCAGAGAAATTGCCATTGTTTTCCCAAGGATCATCCTGCCCCGGGAAAAAGTTTGAATGGTCCTATAAAGAAACTGGACCCTTTTCCTGTTCCCCATTAGGACAACTGGCGTCATCAAAAGAAATGGAATCTTTGGGGAAAGGGAGAGTGTTTGGCGTGTTAACATTCAGTTCTTTCCCAGCAGGGACGATGAGAAGAGCATCTTAGAATATACCTCGTGGGAATATGCTAGAGAGTGTTTCCTGAACTGATAGCCTGGGAGCAAGCAGGACATCAGAAGCTGGCTTAAGTGAATTCATAACTCATTGTAACTGGAATCATGTCATCTGACTGGGATACTTTTTTATTCTTTTGGTCAATATAATTTCAACCTGAGGAGGAAGCATGGAAGAATAGAAATACAAGGAGCCTGGGCCGACTCTCCGCGTTTAAACTCTGGTTTAATCCCTGCTCTGTCATTTACAAGCTGAATGAATTCAATTTCCTCACATATAAAATGAGCATATGTTGGGATTTGAGCAGGTCAGTAAATAATGCTTTTCTTCTCCTCCAAATGAGAATCTGAATAAAATAAAACCAGACACGAGTGGAATTGAGGGGTCAACGTCAGTTTAATAACTGGCACGTCAGGATTTGGGAATTCAGCCTGGATTCATAGCCAGTAATTCCCAAGATTCCTAATATTTCACCCTTTCCAAAAACCAAACCAAATTAGGGCAAAAGAGCTAAACAGTCATAACCATTTACCTTCCCCAAAGGTTACTCTTGGCGACATAGAAAAGGATAATGGGCATCAGACAGATCAAGTCACTTCCAAAACAAGAAGAGAATCAGGGATTCTATGGTCTTAAGTCACCTGGGAAAAAACAGTGGGCCAAAGGCTGTGCAGACCCTTGGCCATCCTACCAACTGAAACAAGGAAGCAGCTTCTGTAAGAGAGAGGCTGGAAGGGTCTGGGATAGAAGCCTGAAAACATGAGGACAGAGGAAAGGGTTCCCCAGATACCATTCCTCTCCCCCACCCACCTCATAGCATTGGTGAAATAAATGCCATCAAGGAGACGGAGGAGTACGAGAAAGCCAGTGAGCGAGGCTTGGTGATCATTCCTTCTTCTTTCTTCTCTCCCCCAACCTGCTTTAGGAAATGAGAGAGGCCAAGTTGCGAAGCAGCTTCCTGAGACCCTTTCCGGAGGGCCGCACCATCTACCTCAGTCTCCCATGTCCAGCTGGAACCAGCACACCTCCTGGTTCCACCAAGCACCTTGGGCTTACACCACCGTGGTCCCCGGTCCTGATTATCTACTGGCCGAAAGAATCCTTGCTGGGTGATTCTTATCCTGCTGCTGTCTTCCTAGCGGGAAGTTTTTTAGGCAGAGAAACAAGTTCTCCTCCCTTTGTTTCCAAATTACTGCTTTTTCTTGCCTCTTTTCTCTTCCCAGTCTCCTTTGCTGAGTTCTTTTTAATGAAGGTCGGCATTTCCCAGGTGTGGTTCTTTCTCTTTTCTTATTTCCTTCTGCTTGTTGCCTCTGGATGGTCCCCTCCCCGTCCCATGTTTTCAACTACACAAGCTGCATTTGACCCAATTCCTAATCTGTGTCCTGCCCTACCTGCCCGGCTCACAGCCTCCCATCTTCAGCGGCTGTGCCCCCACCTCGATTCCCTTCCAACACCACAAAGGTAGCTCCCTTTCTTACCTTCCATCCCTCAAGCTCCTTCTCTTTCTTGTATCTCCCGGCTCTAGTTTTCCACTTTCCCTGAAAAAATATCTTAAAATTATCCTCAGTTGCCAATTCTTTCTTACCCCCTGCCTTTAATAGACACTCAGTTCTGTCAGTGCCTCTTCCATCTGGCGCTTCTCACCATGATGGCTGTCACTGGCTTAGACTCGATCCTGGTCTTGCACCTGCCTCCTTGCAATGGCCTTGGAAATGATCTCCCAGCTACGAGTGTCAGCCTCTCTAGTATATCGCCCACCCTCATTGACAGGTAAGGTTGTCTGCAAAATCTATGTCTCCCCTTCCCACACACACACACACACACACACACACACAACTTGCAACACACCCTTGAGTCTCTTCACCTCATGCTCTGAGTCTGAACTTCTCAGAATGACCAACAAGCTTTCTGGCATCCAGTTCCCGTGCCTTGTCTCCCATTTATGCACCCTACACATCTTAGGACCCGACGGCACTGAATTTATATCACCGTTCCCAGGACAGCCCATGCCCTTTAACACTTCTCTGTTTATGACCTTCCTGTGCCCTCCGTTTTGAGTGTCCTTCCCCAACACACACCCCCACTCACTGCCTTGTAAACATATTTTTCTTTTAAGGATAATCTCAGATGTCTCTGCCTTGGCAAAGCCTTCCCTGACTTTCCTGCTGGTTACCTACATGCCTTCTGCATGCCCTCGATATTTAACTGCTGTAACAGTCATGCATAATCAAATTGCTGGTCATCCATTGGCATTTACGATTCTCCCATTATTAATGGTAGCTTCTTGAGAACGGAATCATTTTTTTCATCTCTTTGTTTCCAGCATCTCGATATTGACCCCCTGTTAGGTATAGTCACTCTGTCATTCACTGCACGCAGAGATAAATGGAAGAATGAAAATTGATTTACTTTAGTGTGATAAAGTGTTCCCATTAACTGCAGGTCTGAGAATTAGGAAACACAGCCCCAGGCATTGGTGTTGCCTGCACTTAGCCTTGTGAACTTAGACAAGTCCCTCCTCCAGGTGTTTGGTGTTTCGGTTCTTCAGTCGGAACAATGGTCAAATAATAACTAAACAACTCTCTTTCTTTTTTTTTTCTTAACAACTCTCTTAATGGGTATTAATGGCAACATGAGAAATTACATGTTTCAGTATATTTCCATGTCTAATACACAAGTTCAGTATGATGACATATATCAATGTTACATAAAATTCACTCTGGCCAAACATCTAGGTGAGTTATGTGAGATACTTTGTAATAAGTGAGTAAAAAAAATGCTATATATGCAGAAAAAGATTTAAAGACTTAAACAGAACTCAGTTTATGGTTTTCTTATTAAGCCATATATATTATCAATTAACAGTCAGTAACATCCTGACACTATAGATAGGCTTGCTTAGATTCTTTTTTTAATTTACACAAGGATTTATTTTTAAGTCAGACCTCTCCTGGGCTGTGAATTCGGGCCAGCCTGTCTTCAAACTTCTTCCCGACATTCTGAGAAATAAAGAAAATAAACAAAGAAAGAAAATAGAGGCGAATACACTGCTTTGGTACTAGAACTCACTCTATGTTAAAATCTCTCTGAAGAAAATAACTCTTTAGGCTCTGAGAGTTCATCACAATATTTTCTCCTGCAAGAAGAAAAAAAAAATAGAAACAACCGAAACATCCAACAAGAGAGCAATGGTTAAATGCGTTACAGCATATTTGTGCCATGGAAACAATGCAGCAGTTATATATTCTGTGACAAGATTTGTAGCAATGTAAGCATTTGTGTTACAATTTTATGTGAAAAAGCCAGGTGAAGAGCATGTGTACAAGATGAGGACAAGTATCTAGAAAATAAGCATAAGAAACCAGAAGTACACCTGCATACCCTTGGCTATTAAGAACCATCTTGTTTTCAGGAGTAGGAACACTGCACCCAGAACTTTTCACCCATCGGCAGACTCCCTCCGCCAGTTTCCCCTGAGGGAAGAGGATTTCAGTACTCTCATATTCCCAGCCTTACTTCATTTCTCAGAAGGTTTTTTTTTAATAACTCATGTTTGATTACCAAAGTAATTTATGTTCACTTGAAAATCTCCCTCATTTTAAAGTTCCTTAACCATGTCTGGTTTGAAGTGAAATTGGAAAGTGATTGTTCTTTCAGCGACCAAGACTTTTGGCAGCTTGCCTCTGAACAGAGCTCGGCATTATATAACTCTCAGTTTTGTAGAAAAACTTTCTAAAAGAGCCAACTTCTAGAACCCGTCATTTCAAAACGGCTCTTAAGCAGATTGTAAATGTATTTTACCACCACCGTGGTGTTACTTCCAGCATACACACTTGGAAGTGTGATACCATTTATGGGTTGCTTTAATGCCTTGTAGTAGGTGGTGAATTCTAGATAAACAAAGGGATCTTCCTCTCTCCCCCCCAAGAGGGCTGTTGGTGAAAAATTACCAACTAGAGGGAATAAAAAGAGAAGAGTAAAGCCTACTTAAGAAGAAGATGTGGGCCGGGGGATGCCCATCTTCTCGGTGAGTCAGGCAGCAGATGGGTGAATACACCTGACATGTAACACTCATCCCAGCTCTGTCATATGTTCAGAGGCTCTGGGGTCCTCACTGGTCTGAATAAATCTTGCCAGGGCCCCAGTGTAGATAGGCTTTCATACCAAATCACCTGGCATGACAATTATAGTCTGCAGGGCCTCACCCCAAACCCACTCAACTGCAATCTTTGGGGTGGGCTTCAAGATGCTGCATCTTAACAGTGTTTCTCTTCTTTCTACAGAAGAGAAATCTGAGTACCAACATGGGAACTTGACTTGCTTAAGGTCACACCACTGGGTGGTAGCAGGACCTCCTGACCTCCAGGTCAGTCCTTCTCTATGGAGAAATTAGGCTTTAGGACAGACCTGTGTAAAAACAGAGGGCTGCACGTTATGGGTGCCCAGGTCAGACACAAATATACCCTAAACATTGGGCTACCACCACTCCCGTCCTCCTTGGTTCACAGAGGTGTCTCTCAGAGGTTTTTAGAGGGAATGAAAGAAGGAAATTGCAAATTGAAGCTGGGCTTCTGCAAATACATGTCTTAGAAAACTACTCCTCACAAGGTAATCCATGAAAACAGAACTCCATCACTGAGGAAGTCACCTTATCCTTTCTTACTATCTTGAATCATCTCGAGAAGTCACTTGTCATGTGAGCCTATAAAGGCACTGAGAAGTCCTACAATAGATAAACCCATTTAACTTTCCTTATTCTGGTAATTCACTGACATATTTGACAGAAGTGTGTGTGTGTGTGTGAGAGAGAGAGAGAGAGAGATCGTTAATATTTTTGAGAAACTAGTATTCTAGAGAAACCATCTAATCATCCAGAAGTCTTCTTAGTCAAATCCATGTCACCAACATGAGCTGGCTAGTTTGGTGGGAAAGCACTAAGCTCAGAGTCTGGAGAGCTCTCTAACACTTGCTAGTTTTGAGACCTTGGGAACATCTCTTGCCTCATCTTACAACTGAAGAAGCCGAAACTAAGAGATACATGCCTTTTCTGTCCATTCTATGGGGTTGTTTGTATGACCACACAGAACTGCCCACAGAATGGGCAGCACTATACAAGTAAAGTTCCATCATTGCTTCTCTTCTCCTCCTCATCCTTCTCTTCCTTCTTTCTCACATGCTCATCACTTACGAGGTCATCTCCATCCCAGAGACCTCAACCTGTCTTTAATAGCAGGGCCTTGACAAGATGACACCACGAATTTGTTGTGATACAAGTATGGCACCCAAGGGTGACCAGCTGATTCTGGAGTTGCTATCATATCAACATTCTCTTGTCATTCATGACAAACTCTCAAAGTATCGACTATAAATGGTAGTGACTCAGGGGTCAAATCTTTCTCACTGAATTACAGGTCAGTTATTCACATAATTGATTTCCTCTCTAGAGACACTGGCATTGCTAACACTGTTCCAGTCAAATGGCAGAGGATAGAATCATTTTCCTTGGTCTGTGTTCCAGTGGGTTGTTCTCTGACCAACACACTTTTATCAGGAGCAACTCCTTCCCTCCTCCCTAAGGGAGGAACCATACTGTAGAAGAAGGGCATGAAGGCTAGAAATGGAGGCATCAATCTGTCACACACTGACCTTAGGGAAATAGTCACTCATGTGTGTCATTGGCCTGATGAAGTGTGACCAGGCACCATGCTTCATTCATCCCTGTGCCCCTCAATGTTTGGCACGGTTCCTGCTACCTCCTAGGTTCTCAGGAAGTATTCCTGAGTGAACAGACGAATAAATGAATGAACTATATCCTACAATGCCCAACATATTTTCTCTGCTTTAATGGGGCCTCCATGAGCCATCCTTCTCACCCATGATTGGCCACACCTTATCATGAGGTTGAAACATTAATACACTCAGAAAACGAGAAAGTAGACGTCCAGAAATGAATAGAACAATCTTTGGACTCTCAATGATCTCACTGTGCAGTAGGGGAAATTTATTGGGCCGCAAGTATCCCAGGGTAAGGCCATGGCAACATGGGAGGTCATTTTATTTCCCCCAATAGATTTTAAGCTCCCGGAGGGTAGGAGTTATCTTCGGTGTCATCACCAACATCTTCATCTTCCTCTTCATCCTCATTGTGTAAACTCCATGAGGACAGGGAGTTGCATGCATTCCAAGCACTCAACACAGCCCCTGGCACATAACAGGTGCTTTTTAATCCTCAGTGAAGTGAATAATTAGTATCAAGTCTAACGTTTTCTGCCTGCTTCTTTCCAGGCACTGAGCCAAGTACTTTATGTTCATTATTTTAACAACAGGAGGAAACTAGGAGCAGAAATAGGTGCAGAAATGTCCTAAGTTGATGGAGACACACTTCTTACCTAGGCAATCTGACTCCAGAGAACATGCTCTTACCCACATCCCTCCACATTATGAATATCCACAGCTCCCTCTCATGCTTTGCTATGTCCCTCATGGTTCCTTGTGGGATGAATGGCGAATGTCAAGTACATGAAAGGACAAGATTCCAAACCAAATTAACGGCCTTGGACTGTTGACTATACCTATCCCTGCACTCCTGTCCGACACCAAACAAAGGTTAATAAAGGAACAGACACAGGATTAACCAGATAAACATGCCAATCTTAAACCCTGCCCAGTCAGGCAGCTAACAAGATTTTTATTGACAGGAAAATAAAGACTTCAGAGAGAAATATGATGCATTCTGCCCTGTCTTTAAGTGAAAAATGAGTTGGTCCAGGGACGTAACAGATCATTTCCCCTTTCAAAGACACTCTCTCTAGTTTCTCTCCAGTGATACTGATGCAACCAAGCAAACAGCAGGACCACTGGTTCAACTGGGACAGGGGGACAAAAAGCCACTGGGACAGGGAGACAAAAAGCATGATGGCTGGGGACAAAAGGGAGGGAGCTACACAGCTTCCTAGGCCTGGAGAATGCCCATGCCACTGGGAGGGACATCTCTGTATGTGCCAAGAAGTGTGCTGAGCATTTTCCCCTTGAAATGCAAACAAGAATGTACCTGGGCAAGGGCTAATATCTGGTGCCAAGCAATATTAAATAGAAAAATATTAAATAGCAAAGCCTCCTATTCTCAATAATTATATTTAATTCATGTCAACAAATATCTACTAGTCACCTACTCCGAGCCTGGCCCTGCGTTAGGGATTTATTTCCTTTATGCCTGAATTACCTAATAATAGTAGAAACACCTAATAGTATGTGACACTTTGCAATTTACAATGTGCTATTAACATCTGCTCATTTTGATTTGGCACCCAGGCAATGGGATAAGCACGGCAGAATTCACTATGCCTGTTTTACAGTTGAGGACACCAGGGTTCAGAGAACAGCCACCAAGAGCTCACACTTATTGGGTGCTCAACCTATGCCAGGCACCAAGCAAAGAAGTCTGCATACGTTATTTTTACAACGACCCTGTAAGGTAGTTACTTTATTATCTCCACTGTACAGACGAGAAAACTGAGGCCTTAAGTTTCCCAAAGTTGCTCAAATAGTAGGTGACAGAGTTGGTATTTAAACAAAGGAAGTCCTATACCCTTGCTCTGAAATCCAAGGCTCTTCTGTCTTCAGAGGTTAAATAATTAGCCTAACATCATGCAAACTTCCAGAGGTAAGGCTCTCCTCCTACTACAGCTCTTTCCTTTATTCCTGCTGGTTGAGGGAGTTATTTATTAATATTGGAAAGGGTCCCTGCTTTAAAGGCATTTGTCATCTGGTAAGGGAGACAAGACAAACGTAATACAGAGATGATATCAAGGCAGGGCCAAAGTCTAGCTTTTCCTCAATTAATAGGATCTCCAGGCATAAAATACTGTTTGTGTTCAAAACAGAAAGAAAATCAATAGGTATGCAGTCGACTACGAGCAAACCTTCCTTGAGAATTTAGTTGCACTAATATTTCACTTGCCTTGGTGGAGGCATCTGCCCCTAGGGAATACTTAGATGCCGCCCACACCTCCTTGCCCCCTGCATTTAGGCAGAGCCATGTGATTCATTTTGGATAATAGGTTGCAGTTGGAGGTGACATGTATCACTTCCCAATGGAAACAAAAAGAGCACGTGAACTTTCTACATGCCCTTTTTTCCCAGCATTCCAGGTTATGAGGGCCTTATCAGCCTATGTTCCTGAGTTTCTTTGAGGAGAAAAGCCTCCTGCTGAACTTCACTGGATATTTATTCTGGAGGAGAAATCACTCTGTTGTGTGTTAGCCCCTGCAATTGGAGGTAAATTTGTTGCTGCAGCAAAACATAGCCTATCCTAACTAATGCACAGGGATGAAGCCATTTAAAAGGAAAACACACCAAAGAAAGGTTGGGATTTAAGTTATGCCTCAGAAATTCTACACAGGGGTAGGTGTACATGGGAGGCTGGAAGTCCAGAAGAGAGAACAGCCCCCAACACTTAGCAGAGGGTGTGTGTTGGGAACCAGGATTGGCTATAATGGGATTGGGGAAATAGGGTAAGGCCAGAAAGAGCTCTCAGTGCCACACCCGGGGGTTAGAATGATAGCTTGATGAGGCTGGGAAGTGCCTTAAAGATCATCTTATAGTTGAAAAGATATAATCTTGTCATTGCTTATTATCTAATTATAAATCATGACAATGGTGCTGAGCAAGAAGCATAGAGCACTTTGCAGCCCATAAGAGAAGGCCATGGTCAAGTTTGTTGGATAGAGGAAGACTTCCAGGAAGCACTGGGAAGCTGAAAACCAAGGACTAAGCTAAACAGAAAAGTAGCAGCACATCCCAGGCAGAGAGAGAGGCAGTCTGCAAATGTCAGGAGGAAAGGGCAGGACATTGACAGTGCAGAGAGACAGAGTCAGGGAAGATGAGACTGAAGAGGATGGTTTCCCATTCCTTGCCATGACCTACCAGGCTGCAATAACAGCCCCATTGAGAGCGATGGGGAGGCCCTGGCCAGGTTGCAGGAGCGAGGGCAAAAATGAGCCGTAGATTTGACAGGAAACTAGTTGACCCGTGGGGAACAGATGTGAGGGAGGCCAGACAGCATGGGAACAGTTAGGAGCTACTGGGCTTATCCAGGGAGGGGGTGGCAATGATTTGGTTAGGGGGCTGGAGGGAAAGGTGGGAAGAAGGGGATGGATCTGAATGATGTACATGAAGTTACAAGGTCGGTTGGGAATGGAGGGTGAGGGAGAGGAGGGGCCAAGGATATCTTCTAGTTGTACAATCGCACAATTGTGTGGATGGTGTTGATGTTGACTGAAGTAGTAGAAAAGAGAGAAGAAGCCATGTTTGTGGAGAGGGAAGATAGTTAGGTTTTGAGCCAGTTGGAAGAATCCAGATGGCGCTGTATAGATGCCAGCCATCCAGGAGGGCCTGGGGATTGAGGAGAAATGGGTCCCTTCCCAGACTCCCGATCAGAAGAGTGGGAACAAAGCTGTCACACTCACCCTGCTGGCCACATTTCCAATGAGCTGACTCAAAGATCAGAGCTACAGTGTTTGACCCTTTAATCTTCTCAGTTTTGCACATTTTATGCTTTATTAAGCCCCAGTTCAGCAGTTGACTTAAGATCCATAATAAGAACTTTTTACAGGAATAGACACACAGAGATCATACTGAACTTGGGCGCCAGGGCACAGTTAAGCATCTGGGGGTTTCCACTGTTTACAGGAGAATCCCATCAACATCCCAGAGGAACACAGGATTTCAAGGCTCAGGAGGAGGAATAATTGCTTCTGGCTGGGAACATTAAGGAAGAATTTGCTGTGAAATTTGCATTTGAGTTGCATCTTGGAGGATGAGTATGATTTAAACAGATGGAGATAGAAAGGAAGAGTTTCAGCAAAGGCAACAGGGAGGTAGGTAGAAGACATGTTTCCTCTCCTGGGCATCCTCCACTTTGGTGCCTTGTCCTGAGCACAGAGCCCTTATGACCCTTAGTTGGCAAGAGTGATTGCCACCTGGAAAGGGGGCTTCTGATCAATCTGGGGGTGACTCCACTGGCTGAAGCGAAGTGGCTGAAGACAGGAAAGGCAACACAGAAAAGTCATTTCATTGTCCACCCATGTTCCTCTCTTCTACATCCACACATGTACCCTGAGCCCTAGAGTGCCTGTCCATTATCCCCTACATACACACCCCCGCTGTCCTCTGTCTCCCTTTAAATATGCTGTTTCTTCTGCCAGAAATGCCTTCCCTCCTCCATCATCATCTGTCCACAGTTTCCATATCCTCCGTGAGCAACTCAAAGGCTAGACCAGTACTCCTCCTTCCTTCTCCAGCCGGAGATGATGCTTCCCTTAGGGCAGCTTCCCTGCACCTCTCATTCGGTACCTCTTACTTTCTGAGCCTACATTCAGCTTCTTTGGGGTCATGCTTTGATGCTCCTTGAGGCAGGGACTATATCTGGCTCCTCTTTGGAGACCCAGAACAGCCTAGGACATGCATGAGAGCTCCACACAGGTAAGACAGAGGACAGAGCCTGAATCTAGAACTCCTGGGTCCACTTTCCAGTTCTGAGTTGCAAAATACACGGGAGCAATGCAAAGCCAATTACACTCACTGAAGAATTTTATTCCATAGCCTGAAACCATGAGAGTGCAACTTTGAGCACCTGAAGGCTCTAGAGCTAAATTTGTTATTGCTTCGTCTGAATCTCACAGCTTTGTCTTGTGGGACAAATTGCTTCCTGCCAACATATTGGTAGTTTCTCGAGGGCCCAATATGCTCCACCTGGTGGTAGAGGAAAGATGACTGTGACAAAAAAAAAGTGTTCCTCTGCCCAAGCTGAAGTCCAAAAGCCACTGTGTGAAGGTGTCTGGGCACACCTGTGCATGTGTGTGCACATGTGACCGAGGGCATGGGCAGAGATGTGGGTGTGGACGTGAGCATATGTCATGGCCTTACCAGCTCAATCCTCTATTTCAGAAAATTTTTGCAGAGATGATGAGTGATGAGAGACACAGAAAGAGGGAGAGAGATCTATTCCCCAGGGGTAATCGTGTTACTGAAAACCACCAGCAGTCATCGTGTTTATCTTTCTCATTTATCCAAACCCCAAACAGCCCTCTGCAGCAAATCGCATTTCAGCAGAGAAGATCATTCTGTCTGTAGCATAAACTTCTCACTGCATCTCTCTCAGGAGTGGCCTCTCTAGGTAAATATAAATCTATTCTAATGGCAACATTTGCAGAAGTAATGTTATTTGCCCTGATTTAGAGAAAACACAACATAGGCTCTGGCAAAGCTGATCTTTTTTCCTTAGAAATTAATCAAAAGCACATAATTCAGAGGCAACACGAATGTTCCATTGACAGAGTGGAGCACTGCTCTGTGTGTGTGTGTGTGTGTGTGTGTGTGTGTGTGTGTGGCGGGAGGGGTGGGGACTATGATGAATTATTCCAGCCTTCTAACCCCTCCTCTGGGGAAGAGGAGTGGGCTCCCCTTTTATTTGTTTCCTGTCATGCAAGTGGCTTCTGGAGACCCAGTTCATGAGATTCATAGAGTTGAGAGAGTTCAAATGGCTATTTTCCACTGAAGGACCAAGAAGCTGTACATTTTGCCCCAAGGGAATATAAAAGCTCAATCCATCAGTGACCTCTGGTGCCTCTGCAGGAGAGCCTCTGAAGGTGCCGAAGCAGGCAACTACCTGGCGGGGAGAGGGGAGGGGGCGGCAGGGGAGATAGGGTTTAATGCCCACAGCACTGTGGGAGAAGGTGGGGGAGGGAAGGCACTACCTTTCAGGGTCCATTCCACTGCTAGCCCCTGAGGACAGGGAGACAGAATTTGTAATCAATGATTTTTTTTAAAAATTACAGTACAGCCCTGTTTTAAAGTGCCACTCACTGCAACCAGGACAGTAAGGCATCATGGCTCCAGAGTCAGACTTCCTATCCTCAAATCTCACTTGTACCACTTACAAACTAGGTGATCCTGGGCTAGTTACTTAGCCTTCCTGTGCCTCAATTTTCTCATTTGTAAACTGATTTGATAAGAGTTGTGAGGTTTAAATGAGTTGATGCATGCAAAGGACTTAGAAGGGCATCTGGTACAGTAAGCACATGTGCTATCATATATTATTGTTATTTGCAGTATTGATTAAACCATCATGTGAACCTCTTGCTGGCCCATGCTCCTGTAACAACCACATGACAGGAGACAACCAAATTTGTGGATTTGCAAACCCCATAGGTGACAAAAACAAAAAACAAGCAAACAAAACAAAACAAAATCTCAAAGAGCTCAGGATGGGAGGGTGGTAAGAGTTAATCCATCCATCCCTTCACAGTCTAAGATCTCTCTGGATCCAGGCCAAAGACTTGCTGAAGCATTCTATTTTTCTTGGGTTGGTTGTTAAAAATCAGCTTTTATTGTCAGAGGCCATTTTCCATCTTCTGAGCAGAAGCAGGCTTCTAACTACATTTAGTGTTGGAAGGAGAATACGATGGAGAATCAAGTCCAAATTTAACATCAGTGGGTCATGTGATTTGTCCAATTCCCTTCTCCCCCTACATGGCTTCAGTTTCCCCATCTGTACAACGAGGAGGTAGCGCCAATGGCCTCTAAAGAATCATCCAGCATCACCCACAGTCCATTTACAGCCCTGGTCCTCTGGGTAGACTCAGTGTGGTAAGAGACTTTGGCATGGGCAACGCGTTGGGGGTCACCACTGGCCCAGGACTCAGGCCAGAAAGGTGAGCAGAGTCATGACCTTTTGGCTGTTTGTATCTGAGTGGTTTGGTTTGTGTCTCAGCAGACAGTGGAATCATAATGATCATGAGCCTCCTGACTGATCCTTACTTGAGTGCTTTTATAGTGAGACCCGTAACAACGACCAAAGTAGAGGAACAGGCTTCTGTGGATCAGCCACTTCCCTCCAGAGGGCTGGTGATTATCAGACTTCTTCACTGTGTGACCCTCCAAGAGTCCCCAGAGTGCCTGGGCTCTGGTAATCTCACCTTCCAGAAGACACCGTTCATGGTACAGGCCTCGCCACCACCAACAGCCTCTGGGAACTCGGCACTTCGTCTCCGTCTTGTACTGTGGCCCTTGTCAGGCCCAGAGCTGGTGACCACCCTTGTAGAGCTGAGGCTGGCCCAGTTTCCCCTGCATTTCTGTTTCTTGAAACCACTGGTTTCTCCTCCATTGCAATTTCAGAGCAGAGTCTGAGGAAGCCCATGTTTCAAATGCAGCAGGAACAGTGCCATCTAGATAAGGCAAGAGGATTGAATATGTTCTCAGCTATCAGAGAGTGGATCATTCAATAAATCTTCTAATAAGGATGGAGTACTTGCCATGTACTAATAACAGTAGGGGAGCTTTGGAATGTGAACCGGTACTCGATATTGTGGAGACCCTTTACACTTTTTATCTCTTCAAAATTTACAGTAACCTTATAGAAGAGTTACTAGTACAGTTCACATTTCACAACTGTGACACTGAGTCTCCAAAAGCATTAAGAACATCACCAGGACTTAACCCAGAGATATTACAACACAAAATACAAAGAGGCAGAAAGCGTGGCCTCTGCCTCATAGAATGCACATCCTGTTGGAGAAACAGGATGTGGGCTCTGCCTGGCTTTGTCCTGTGCTGCTATTTGGTGTTTTAATTCCTTTGATAGATAAGATAATATACTATGCAGATTATGAGATATGAGAGCCCACTCGCTGGAGCCTAGAGAAGTGGGGAAAGCTGAGTGGGCTTTTAGGCAAGCTTTGCAGGATAGAGAGGGATGCTCTCAGCAAGAGGAAACAAGATTAGGTGAGAGAAATAGCACTAGCAAAGGCCACCCAACTGGGCCATTCAAGATCCCATTTCCTTCTAGTTATCTTGGCCTGAGGATGCTGATTTGGCTCATGAAAAAGGAGTTCAGAAGCAAATGCTGGGGTATTCCCTCTTGTTCAGAGCTACTGCTGGCCCGGAGAACAAGGGCTGTCTGCATAGAAATGTGTTGCGGGAAAGAGCACTAAGAAAAGGTCTTAATGATATGTGATAAGGCTCAAATTAAAGTCAAGTGGGATATTCCTAAGAGGCAGCTCTTTAAACATTTGCAGCAAATGTCACTAGTGGTAGAAAATATAAAGCCACACTCCCAATATGTTTACCTGTTTGGATTTTTAAAATTTTATGCCATGCTTGTGTGATTCTAAAATATATCCATGTTTATTTCAACTGACCTGTTTAATAATTCCACAGACATTTGTTGAGCCCCTATTCTGTGCTGGGAACTGTCCTGGGCACTGGGGGGAAAGCAGTGAATACACAACAGTTCCCATTCATGACATTGCATTCCAGAGTTTCTTCTCACATTTTGGTAGAAAGTGATAGTTCCTTGGAGATGTAGACATCCATCCTGAGCTTCCTGTAACCCCAACACCTTGCCCGTGGGGGTAAGATGAATCTTGGATTAAAGAGGGGTCTGTAAGCAAGGTGAAAGGAGAAATGCCCTCCTGGTAGGCAGCAAAGAGTATCTGATACCTTGGCTTCCTCTTACATGTTGAATTTCAAGACGGAGCTATTAATAAATGTAAAATGAAAGCTCCTGTGTTTTGATTGCCTCCTACCTGACAAACACTGTCCTTGGCACAGTAAAAGCCATTAATTCTACTTGGCCCCAACCCTATGTTTTCTTCAAAATCCCTCTCATATCCTAAGATTACTTGTTGTAGATTACTGTTTGTTTATTGTGTTGCCTCCCCAGTTAGAATACAAGCTCTAAGAGAGCAACACTCATGTTTGCCTTGTTCATTGTCCCAACATCTAGCACAGCACATGGCAGGTAATTGGTTCCCTAATGAATATTTTTGAAGAAGTAAATAAATGAGCTCCATTACAAGATGAGAGACTTTCCCAATTCTTCTATAGCCGTTCTTCCTATCTTGCATTTGCAGATAAAGGCTAGGTAACTCTCTCAAGGTCACTTGAGGAGCATGTGACACAATCGAACTTTAAACTTAGTCTGTCAGATTCCACATCCTTGCTCTTGTCCCCAGTGCTATAAACCCTTGTCCTTGTAAGAAGGCACCCTTTGATTTAATGATTTCTCTTCTTAGACAACTACAAACAAGTAACTGCAAATTGTAGCCATTCTTTCGGTCTCCTCTGCTCGTGCTCTTTTCCTGGGTTAGAACCTTCTCTATCCCTCTGTGCAGAGCTTCCCCCAACATATACACATCCATGTCCAGAGTTCAGTTAGCACACCCACCTTTCTGAAGTCATCAATCACTCTATTCCCTGCCTCCACTGTTACACCCTCTACCTGTAGCTTAATTATCCCCACACCTAGACCTCATCTCCCCATGGAGAATGAAAATCCTCATGGGCCAGGAATACCCCATCACCTTGGGAGGCCACATAGAATAATGGTAAAACCTCAGATTCTAGGACCAGACTAGCTGTATGCAAACCCCAGCTCTTCCTCTTGCGGACTGTGTGATCTCAGGCAAGTTTCTTCACTTCTGTGGGCCTCAGTTTCCTCATCCGTAAAGCGGGAATAATAATGGTATGTAGGGCTGTTGTAAAGGTGAGTTAATATGTGTGAAACTTAATGTGAAGCACACAGTAAGAGCATGTAGATGTCAACTATCCCTTCTCACTTATCTTCTTTTCCTTTTCCAACTGTGCCAGGCACTTAAAGAATATTTTTAAATTCCTACTAACATGAATCTGCTAATTCTCTGGCCACCTCCTCAGTGTGTAGCATTTCCCCCCTACTACACTGCAAGTTCTGAGGACAGGCATTGCTAGTGTTTTCTCCTTCCTCCCTTTCAGGGTCTACCATAGTGGGAAGAACTCAACAGGTACTTAATAAATCCTTATGGAAATGAACAAACCAAAAAGGCCTTGGGTTTTGGGGGAAAATTCTCATTTGATTTTCTTTTCTGCCTTTCCTCTCTCCTTTAATTGCACACCTCTCCTTTCTTCCTGAAATCAGATTAAGCCCCACTGAGCCTAAACCAATAGTGTTTCACGTCATTTTCCTAATGGATATGAATTGACTGTAATCCTTTTGTTTTGTGGCCACTGGCAGTTGGTCAGGCAGGTGACTGGGATGGAGATTTTAATCACTCCCAAAATATAGTATTAGTTTACAAAATGTCAGCCTTCCACTGCACTGGAGAGTCATTTATGATGACATTGCAGCTGAAGGAAAGCGCCCCAAGAAACCTTAATTGGCCTTCAGCTGATTTTAGGAACCAGGCCTTCCTTGTAATTTGCTGCAAAACTCATACAATTCTCTGAAATAAGATCAGTCATGGGACACTGCAGTGAGAACATTACAGAAAATAGCTCAAGGACAGATCTGTGCACCACAAATTCATTAGGAAGCTACCACCAGACCCAACCTCCAATGTACTTATCTTTGGGAAGAACTCATTTCTTGTCAAGACTTCACTTCGAAAGGCAATGGGAAGAGGTGGTCCCAACAAGATTTCTCAGCTGCCATTTAATCCACACTCAAGGGAACCCAAACAGCAATATTGATAACAACAGAAAACAGGAAAGCTGATTTCCTTTGGGCAGAAAACGGTTTTCCCAAAAAGATGCATCTGAAATGGAAATTGAAAACGTGAGAGCATTTCAGCTGAGGACATTCCAAGTGCTACCTGCACTCACACACATACAGATCTTATTAACTTAGAACAGGGCTGGCAAACGGGTGCCATTTTGCATAACGTTTCTCTCTTTTTTAAAAAAAAAAATTTGTTTGTTTTTGAGAGAGAGAGAGCATGAGCAGAGGAGGGGCAGAGAGAAATGGGGACAGAGGATCCAGAGCAGGCTCCCTCTGACAGTAGCAAGCCTGATGCGGGGCTTGAACTCATGAACTGTGAGATCATGACCTGATCCGAAGTCGGACGCTCAACTGACTGAGCCATCCAGGTGCCCCTTGCATAACATTTCTGATGAATTATAGTGGCTGCTAAGAACACCATATCCAAAGGGATTCTTCTGTTGCATTTCAGCTCAACAAGAAAGAATGCGGTAATCATTCAGCAATGTCTGCTGTGGCAGAGGAAGTGAAACCCATGTATTAAAGGCTTGCCATCCTCAACTTGGAATCATGGGGGCAGGATGGATTTCTGATGCAAGTGTAGAAATATCTATAAAGTTCTGTTTCATTATTATTTTCTATTATTGCTTTTTATTGCAAACAGTAGCATAAATCATAGATATGAATATCCAAAGTTGGAGCACTTATTTCAAAGTTTCTGATCAGTGGGCTCTCCCATTCTCTGTTTCCTTTTCATGAGAGCCATTTTGACAAGTTTGCCAGTGAGAGAAACAGGTCTATGCTGAGGAGGTATTTTATGGTAATAAAGGAGAGAAACTTAAATGCCAGTGTCACTCATGACAAACAACTCCCTGAGTAAGACTTCCTTGAAGCAAACTTCATACACCCGCCCCCTATTTCCATAGTGGGTTTAGGAAGGCCCATAAAAGAGAGGTCTTGCTCATTCTCACCAATTACTGGAAGAATCAGCTGGTGAGTAACTTACCTGTCCCCTGGAACTTGAGATCTGTGTCATTGGTTCAGAACAGTCGAAGGGAACAGGGAGGAGAAAAAATCATGTCACCAAAGGTAACTCAGGCTCCCTGCTGACACTGCCCCCAGCATTGGCTCTGACAGACATTTGGCAAATCCACCCCTCCAGTACTGTTCTCAGTGACAGCTTGAGAGGGGGCTGGGGCAACCTTCACTTTCTTGAGAGGAGTCAATGCAGCAAGAGTCAACTTCTTTGCACATTTTATGGGGATCTGCAGTCTGATGGAAAAGGCATCATGGATTCAGGACAAGGGCAGGTTTCCCTGTGCATCTGAGACTGGAGTGCCAGAGACCAGCAGCGACTCAGGAATAAAGATGGTGCAAAGATTTCTAAAGACATTTCACTCTTGTCAAAGTTCAGTCCTATAAGTTTCAGTGGAAGTTTTAGATGTAGGGAATGTAGGATGGCTTTTCTGGGAAACAGCTGCCAGCGGTTCCACCTTCTGGCTGAGCAGCTCCCCTTTCTAGCTGATGAAAGCAAGTAGGCTTCTTCGGCATCACCAAGAAAGACATTTGGAAAAAGGCAACAGAGTCGGACTAGATACTGGTTCAGAAAAGTTATTGTCCTCCTTTCCCTCCCCACTGTGACATCAGTAGTTCCAGAATCAGCCCTGGTTTCTAACAAACTTCTTGATGGAAAGCTGAACAATTTTTCTGTTTTACCTTATGAAGTGGAAAATCCCCAAAGGGGGAAAAAAAGGACTACAGTCTAGTTGGAAATTAAGTTAAACTCAATTAATTTACATAAATGCACTGGCTTGCTTTGGTATTGTAATTAATTCTTGGTTCGTAACCTGGAGTTTGTCCCTGCAGATTGTGTCCCAGAACACGCCATTGCTCTAATCTGGCTGGCAGCCTGGCTTCAAGGGCACCAGTGGATTGATTGTAAGCTCTCTGAGGACAGAGACAAGGCTGATACTGCTCTGTTGGATAAATATGTGTTCACTGGGCAAATATTTATAAAGCATCCACAGTGGTTGTACATCAGCACATGCATGGTGCCTAAAAGTAAATAAAATAGGTGCCTACCTTCATGGATCTTATGTTCTAACTGAGGAGAGATAGATTATAAACAAGTAACCCAATCAATAAACAAGATCCATTCAGGTGGTGACAAATATTGTACTATAAAGAAATAAAACAGGGTATAAAAATAAAAAGCAATGCCACAGAAAGACGTCCAAGAGCTGAGAAGTAAATGATGGGGAATCAGCCATCACTCCTAGCAGGGCAATGGTGTGCGAAGGTGCTATGGGTAGGCAACCTTGGCATGTTCCAAGGATAGAAGGCAGACCAGAATAACTGGAACCTGGTAAGTGAGAGGGAGAAAGATGTAAGAGGGGACTAGTGGAATAAAAAGGGACTTGGTCATGATATGGAGTCAGGATTCTATCCTAAATCCCACGAGAAGCCTTTGGAAAGTTTTAAGTGAGAGAATGACATGATGTGACAAAAGTTCACACTGGCTTTTAGTTGCAAAATGGATTACACAGCATAAGAATGGATGCGTTTTAGATGTATATTCTCATTCCAAATCTGGGATGGGGGTTAGTTGTGGGACAAGAGTAAAGAGGCAAGAAGTTCTGCCATTTCACAGCCATGATAAAAGGGCAATGGGAGAACTACAGGCAGTCGTGTGCTGGTCAGTGTTTAATAACTGGCTTTCTTGGGGGTGGGGGTTGAGGCCAGTGGAGGGAAGGGGATCCGATTTGTAGAATTTGCTGATGTTCATGGTGTAAATACTTCTACCATGGTTGATTTCAAACTATCAGCATGACCTCGCTGAATTCAGAGTTAGAAAGAGATGCATACAATGGAGTCTCACAGGTCATGATGGATTGATTCTGGCATACCACTGTCTCCAGTGCAAAAGCTTCTACTATAAACTAATCTCATCTGGGGTCATGACAAGTTATAGCACACCTGAGAACACTAGGCTATAGTGTTTAGGGGAAGTCACACATTTCATTAGTGCAAAAGGGTCCAAAGTTTTACTAAAACTCAGAAAAGGAAAACTTTAAATGATCGCTATGAGTAAAGTATGGGGGATTCTTATAGCAATAAAACTATTCTGAATGATACTGTAATGGTGTGTGCACGTCATTATACACCTGTGAAAGTTCCATAGCATGTCCAACAGAATGAATCTTAATGCAAATTATGGACCTTAGTTAATAATATCAATATTGGCTCATTTATTGTAACAAACATACCACACTAATGCATATGTTAATATGTATATGTTAATCAGAGGGAAGGGGTATCACGGAGTACGTGGGAACTCTGTATTTTTCACTCAAATTTTGTAAACCCAAAAGTGTTTTAAAAATAGTCTGTTAATTTAAAAATATATATCAAGAAGATATCAACACATGTACTTATGTGAATGTGTATACGTAGGCATTTGGAAAAAATCATCTTTCATGTCTCAAAATATCCCATTTCCTTGCTATTATATTATGGGAGGCTGAATGATGACCCCTAAAGACTACACCCTAATCCGCAGAACCTGTGAATATGTTCTTTACATGACAAAAGGGACTTTGTGAGACGTGATCAAGTTAAGGATCCTGAGATGAGAGATTATCTTGGATGATCCAGTTCAATTCAATGTAGTCACCTTTTATTTTTTTTTAATTTATTTTAATTTTTAATTTTTTAAATTTACTTATTTTTTTAATTTACATCCAGGTCAGTTAGCATATAGTGCTATAATGATTTCAGGAGTAGATTTCAGTGATTCATCTCCTATGTATAACACCCAGTGCTCATCCCAACAAGTGTCCCCCCCTAATGCCCCTTACCCATTTGGCCCATCCCCCTACCCACAACCCCTCCAGCAACCCTCAATTTGTTCTCTGTATTTAAGAGTCTTTTATGTTTTGTCCCCCTCCTTGTTTTTATATTATTTTTGCTTCTCTTCTCTGATGTTCATCTGTTTTGTACTTTAAAATTTTTTTTAATGTTTATTTATTTTTGACAGAGAGAGAGACAGAGCATGAGCAGGGGAGGGGCAGAGAGAGAGGGAGACACAGAATCCGAAGCAGGATCCTGGCTCTGAGATGTCAGCACAGAGCCCTACAGGGGACTTGAACTCATGAAACGCGAGATTGTGACCTGGGCCAAAGTTGGACGCTCAACCGACTAAGCCACCCAGGTACCCCCATCTGTTTTGTATTTTAAATTACAAGGGGTCCTTATAAAACAGAAAGTAACATCATAAGGGAAGCAGAGGGACACAGAGAGAGACTGGAAGATTCGAAGCTGCTGCCTTTGAAGATGGAGGGTGGGCCACTTACCAAGGAACGCGGGCGGCCTCCAACAGCTAGGAAAAGCAAGGAAACTGATTCTTTCCTAGAGCATCCAGAAGGAATGCAGCCCTCCTGACCCATCTTAGCACTTTTGACTTCCCAATTGTAAGAGAATAAATTTAGGTTGTTTCAAAACACTAAGTTTGTGGTAATTTGTGGCAGCAGTTTGTGACACGGTAGGAAGCTAATATATATTCCTTCTACCTGGGATTTGCCCTCTCTGTCCCATCAAACCACCAGGTATCTCTCTGGCTTATCCTGTTCTTTTAGCTCCTCTCTTACATCTGTGCCTCCTGGGCCAGGCCCAAACAGAACACATGCCACCATCTTGCCTCTATTCTTAGTCTGGCACAATTGCCGGCTGGCAGATGACGATACTCAACAAGCATTTGTTAAATGAATGAACGAATGTTGCTTCCAAATTCATCCCACACTTAAAAGGATGATGTGGGGGTTTTTGTTTTTTAGTATTTGTTTTTCAGTTGTGCTGTTTGCTTTAATCTACCCTCTATCCCATAAGAAACCACTCACACACATGGTGACTTCTAGCTGTAAGTACACATGGATTCATTTTTTCTTTTTGGTTTTGACCTGCCCCCGTGGTTTGAGCTCTTTATGGGGCTCCTGTTCCCAGGACTTCCTGCTGGTAAATTCCATCTCGACTTCTTTTTATGTGGGGCATCAATCTAAACTA